GTTTCTGTCGTTTTCAGCATTGGGAGATCCTTGTCGATAGTGGAAATGACTGAAATAGATGAAAGACTTCGTTTGATTAGTGTCGAGTTGCGATATCGCATGCCACAGTGATCAATAATTGTATTTCATTGAAAGAAATCGAACTGGCTGTGTACATGAGAGTAAAACTTGGTACTGAATGTAGCCATGAATGCTATTTTCACCTCACTGTTCATATGGGTGTGTGAGTATTAGTGTCATTGACGATGTGTTTGGAGTCTCTACTCACACTACACATATCCACATCCATACCCACCTATTTTATCCTTCTTTTCATCGTTTTTCATGGTTAAAACATAGTGCACACGATCAAAAATCATGTCAGTCGATATAGAGTTTTAGATACTACAATCTGCTCGAAAAGTTTTCTTGAAAGAAAGCTTCCTTAGTTGGAAAAGACGTTAAAATACCAAAGTCGCAGAGAAATTAAAATTTGAATTTCCCAAACCTATTCTGACAAGTGCCGATGCCCTTTGTTATAGACGAATAACTGAACACAACAGATAGTTTTCTCCTAAAATAGGATTATACTTAGATTCATTTTTTTGGATTATAATGTTTTAGGTGTGGGTTTTTTCGAATACGCTCAAAATACTAAGCCTGAATCAGTGATTAGAAATATCAAAATGTATGAATTTTTTAGAGCAAAATTTTCGCTTTCGAATGAGACATCGCTTGAATTTTGACAATTTATAGTAACATTGAATCGTGCCTTTTATTACACTACTGTGCGCTACATCACATAAAAGCGATAATCCAAATGAAACTGATGAGTCGATCTTATTGTGAATCCTCAAAATTCGAGTGGTGTCTCATACAAAAGCGAAAATTTCGCTCTAAAAAATCCACGCATTTTGACATTTCTAATCAGTGATTTAGACGTGGTATTTCAAGAGTATTCAACATAATCCACACTTAAAGCATCATAATCCAAAAAAAAAGAACCCAAGTATAGTACTATTTTATGAGAAAAGTATCTATTGTGTTCAGTTCTTTTAACCAACTCCTTTAGTCGGTTAAAAAGAATATCGACACTATCCGGGCAAATTTGATAAATTCAGATGTAAATTTTTCTTCTACTTTGGTATTTGAATTTCTTTTCCAATGGAGAAAAGTTTCTCTAAAGAAAAATTTTCAAGCAATTTGTAGCCCGTCAAATTCTACATCGATCGATATGATTTTCGATCTTGTATATAATATTTTGATCATGAAATACGATGAAAATAAGGATATACCACGACAATATTATAAACTTTTGTTCGCTAGAAGAAAACTGCATATCATTCTAAAGTGGCATTTTGCGTTCCAGTCTATGAATCGTTAATGACCCATGTAGGGCCACCACTTGATTATGTCCCATGTGAGAATAAACGACAAAAAATCTAATTTTAATCCAATTCTTACTGATTAAAAATCGATTAAAATGACACAACTTTAATCAAGTTTCCTGAATTCAATCCATTTTAATGAGATTTTAATCTGATTTATCAGCGTTTCGGATTGCACGAGTAAGTATGAATTGATGACGTATGTGGAAGTGCATCAAAGATAGAACTAGTGCTACACTTATCATTTGTCGACGTGAGAAGTTAGGAAAAAGAATTGAAAGGTGGAGTTTCTAAATTAACACTAGAGAGATACGTGTTTTATAGTCGTAGTAATTGAAATCGATGAAAATCAGAAAATCTCAATAAAATTGGATTAAAATCAGAGTTTTCATCGTTTTTTTCTACATGGGATATTTGAGAACAAAGGTTTATCTCATAAAATGTGTGCTACTTGGACCTGATTTTACTGAAGGTTTTTATGTAGTTTCTTCCTTGGTATATCTATAGAATGGTCACAAAGTGATGAGTAACCATGTAAAAAAATTCCTCTATAGTAGTTACATAATTGATTAAAAATCAGTTATAATCTTAAGATGAAAATTAATAATTTAAGCAGAAATAATCACAAAAAAAAACAATACAAAATCGGTTGATTTTATTTGCATGATTATAATCGATTTTTAATCGAGTGTTAGCAATTGATGAAAAAGCTTTTTTTTTAATGCAAACAGTCAAAAAAAAAACGTTTTTGTTACCTGATAGCATGTGTCTTTGTGCATCACATTTATTAAGCCACCGATATAATTTTTTTTGAAAGGAGAATCGGTCGAGCGTAGACAATAAGAAAGAGAAAGAATAATGACTAGATATAAATACGATATATGACGTGTCGAACAAAGAAAATGTGCGCTGTGAAAAAAAAGACAACATTCTCTTCAATGGAGGAAAGATTATATGAAATAAAAATCAGTTTGTATGTTTGCTTGCTTGCTTGTATGTTTACTAGCACATGTCAAGTCACATGTATACATATTTGTGAGGGTTAATGACATTTGTTGAAGAATTTCGGAAGTCGAAGAGTCTGAATCTGTAATCTGTACGAAAGCAAGAAATAAATAAGAGAGTTCTTTATTGCATCGATTTCCTTCGGAAACAACTATAGTCTGCGAGAGATTTCTCGCTTTATGTACTTAGTATTAGTTAAATGAAGCTAAATAATTTATATGAGTTCCCATTTCAATTGCAATGAGGCTGCGATGAAAAGCTTTGCTGACTAAACAAAGTATTTTTGAGAAAGAAGGGATTTTTCTAGAAAGTTTGAGCGACTTATTTTTTCTTGCAACAAAGAAACTTGAGCCAGTAATCTGTTACACCATTTCTAGAAACCGATTCCAGAACTTGATCTGTCGGCGTCGAACACCTCCTTGAATTAAATTTTAGAATTACTTATAAATGCCGTAAGATTAGGCTTGGATTAGTACAAAAGTTGCATCAGGTTTTTTACTTCGGGTAGTATAACTAATTAGATATTTTCTCTATTCAGGTCTCATCAAATGGTATTTTTCGCTGCTGGATTTCCAGCCAATTATGGTGCGAGTGTGCATGGAAAGACAACAATTACACCTATACCTACACTCACATCCTAAGTAATATTTGTAAACCTGATCTTAAAATCAATAAACTAATGTATGTTTGAGAGAAAATGCTTTGCTCAATCTAAAGAGCTATCAATCACGAAATCGAAAGTGTAAATATGGGCGCAGATGTATTTATTGTTTTCTCATGCTCACACAGACCCTATCAAACCTATACATAGTTTTGAAATAATGAAGTGTGTGACAATATTCAAGACCACAAAATACTGAGAATTTGATCCATAACAGTAGATATTGAGATCAGACTACCTAGTGAAAAATATTTCTAAAAATAACGGAAGAGAACGCACTCAGAAAAATGTAGAGACTTGTCTTTTACATGAAAAATGTGTTCTGCAGCTTAGCGAACGTTTTCACAAACAAAAAGAAAAGTTCTGAGTCTAGAGGAACTCATTCTTTACTGTTCCACACTAGTACGGGATGTTTTCTTCTCAGTTCAAAAATCGTTCTCTATCTGGATAGAAAGCGTCCTGAACTGTTACATGAGCCAATAGAACGTGTCTCTGCCCATTCTATTTCGAAACAGTCAAGATAGGATTCCATCGAAATGAGACCGTATTTTTAACATTCTCTTGAGAAACACCTGAGAATGGATTCTTTTGACTGATGGACGCTTTCATCAAAATTTAACGTCACTTTTGATTCAAAAATGACAGCTCTGAAGTACGACACCCTGAAACTGATGCCAAAAATGGTGGAACTTTCAATTCGTTATACTTTACAACTGGCAGTTCTGATTCCAAATTTTTTTTTTAATAACAGTTTCAGCTACGAAAAATTAGAGCATGCCATTGGATAGAGCTCGTCGAGTTGCACTGGAATCGATCTTTCAAAAAATATATCTGAACTTCTCTTCGAGAACTCTTATAGTGAATCTAAATTCAGTCAGTAACGACCAAGCATGCGTTCCAAAAAAAAAGCTAGCTTTTTTGAGAAAAGAAAACGTTCCAAAAAAGTTGGAACAGTTAAGAATGCATTCCAAAAAACATGGAATGTTTTCTTAATGGTTCCATTTTGGAACGCTTTCCACTTTTGTTGGAACGTCTTCTTTTCTTAAAAAAAGGGCTTTTAATTTTACGAAACGCGTTCTTTCCCGTTTTTTGAAGCAAATATTTTTCACTAGGTATTAGATTCGAGATCAGTTCGAGAGTTTGTCCATGGGACAGATCTCAAAAAGTAGAGATATGTATAGATAAAATCTGAGTTCAATCAAACCGAGCTATAAGAGTCGAAATAGAAAATGGATGATCACCGGAATCGGTTTAGGAAATTATGTTTATCTCCAACAATTATTCGTGCACGAAAGAGAGGGATCGCAAACAGTAATAAAATTGATTACGTATAAAAAAACCGACAGTACACTATGTAGTCAGGATGAAAAGTGGGTCCTCAGTGCCTCAAGCGAGAATTCGGAATTTCTTGTGAAACATCAGACGCTAAAACAGGATTTTCACTTCTTGAAAAAAGGTATGCTATGCAGTTGCAACTGCAACACTTTTCGATCACAATCAAAAACTAGAAAAATAACAGTAGCATAGATAAGCAACTCTAGTAGTTTTCTTGTAATATTATTTCTTTTCTTTTGTGACGAAGGGAGAGAGAAAAGTTGGAGGCAGTTATATTTGTCTTCCGATGTGCTCTGAACTCATCGAAACTGCAGCTAGAAAGAAGAAAATTACAAAAAAAAAACTGCTCATAGTTCTCTTAACAATTCTAACCATCCCAAAGAAATTACATAACGTAGCGCGATTGACTATGTGAATGTGAAGATGAGAAATTAAGAATGATAAGAAGACACTGACCTTCATACCCAATATACATCAAACATCAGACGCACCCTCGTGCCCATATTTTCTCACTGTGCATATATATATATATATGTCGTTGTCAGCATTCGAGATCTTTTTTTTTTATTACTTTGCTTGAATCACACATTTTCGTATGAAACACATTTATTAAATCAACTCTTTTATCTTTATCAACATATGATCTTTCGAGTTGCTCTACGTAAAACATCTAAAAGTGTTTTTCGAAATATGGTTCCACCAGCTAATGTGTAAATATAGAACGGCATTCCATTAGTTACATAGGTAAGTAAAAGAAACAAGTTAAAAACAAAATTGTTAATGGCGCTCTGTAATGGTGTTCTTGATTCATTTCTCGTACTGTTTGCGTAGATGTTTTGGATCGCCTGTGGTAATGAAAACAATGTGAGAAGAATAACTTGAATCAGTAGCATATAAAGCAAATGTTTATCAGTTTTTTTCCAACGTTGTTGTTGTCCATTTATTGTCATTTCTTGCACCATTAATGAAATACTCATAGGTTGTATACGACGTTGAGCACTATGACGTATATTTAAAATGGTCATCAAACCAAAAATAAACATAAGCAAAGAAGGAATGAGAATGCTAACTACAGTAAATGTGAAATCAATTAATAGACGGCACCATATTGTTTTTCCATAACATTTCAATGGAGCATTGCTGAGATTGGCTTCATAACAATAGAATATTTGTGCATAGACAAGGCTTGATAGAAACACAATGAGAAGTGTGCCACGTTGAGCATTCTTCAATGTACTCATGTAACGACGATTGGCATCAATACATGATGCCAACCATCTGTCAAGCGTTGCCAACATGATCAGCCACGAAGCAATCGTTCTCGAAACAAATAGAACAAAGATTCGAAATTTACAGAGCCATGGAACTGTGTCTGTTAAATCTGCTGACCAACCAGCCATTAAACGAACGGCAACACCAGAAATGAGAGTAATCAAACTGATAATTGATGATACAAGAAAAAGCCAGGAACATGGATTTTTACGAAGAGATTTTTGAGATAAAACAAGACAATTGAAAATATTACCTACAGTACCAAAAAGAAGAATGATAATCGATAAATAACGATTGATATGAGCTGAGATCAAATTCAAGTTTAGAATGAGATTTGCATCAGATGAGTTTAATGACATTTTGATACCTAATCAATAGAGAAAATAATAAATTTAGTAATTGTATATAAGGGAATGCTTTGAAAATCTAACAAATGCACTTGTGCACAAGTGACAACTTCCAAAAAATTCTATTCAATTCAATTATTTGACGAAAAAATTTGAAGTGGTTAAAATAAATTTATTTTTAATGCGGTACAGTCAGAAGAAATGTCCTTTTTATCTAATACTCACCAGAATTCTTCTAAGTAAAACATACTTTCACAAAGAACAAACTTTGGAAAGAATATATGTTGAAGTCTGAGACACTGTATCAGCTTCTCTCAAGTGTAGGATTATCCTTTGAAATAAAAATAAAGATATTGGTAGATGAGGTTTTGAAAACTAAATAAGCAATCTGAAGTGCGACTATAAATGTACCGACAGAATTTTTATAATTTACATTTATGTACATATGATAAATTCGTATGAAACTTGGCTTACTTGAGTTATAGTTAAATCAGCAATTAAATCATGAAAATCGAGGATATACGATCATGTTAAAGTAAAGTTTTAAGAAAAGAGAGAGACGTCGAACGAGTAAGTTGGCCAAAAATTCGACCAATCTAAATTGAACGTGAGCATTGATGATGTTAAACAAGTATAAACTGTAATTCAATCGATTTATATACAAAAATAATACTTAAGAAAAAAAAAACCAGTAAACTATATTTATAACTATAGCTCATAGTTAATATTTATTCGACAAAATGAGAATACTATTGTCGAGCATGTTTTCCTTTTCAATGATTCAACATATTTTAAAATACTATATTATATGAACGTCATTGATGCTTTCAATAAAAACAAATGAGACTCTTTTTGAAATTTATTTATGTATTAGAAAACTCCACTTACGAGTATTTCTCAATAAGATAAAATGATTATGATATCTTTAGAAAAACAAAAAATCATGATTTTTCACTATTGTAGATCAAAAGTGCGTGAAATACAGACATTTTGAAAGAGACTGATTTATCTACTGCAGCGGTAGTAATCAGATTATTTCAACCATTTATGAAAAGAGAATCTTTCATGCTTATTTTCACAATTTTTAAAGTGATGAAAAATTACTGTCTAGATTTTCGTTTCGTAAGAATGTTGATAAATATCTAGGAATTTCTCAATGAGAAAAGCTGAGGATGTTAACGGATCAAGCATTCCGTATAGATTGAAAGCAACAAGAAAAACCCTTAAAAAAATGACTTCTACGTCAATAAATAAAAAGAACTATCTTATCGCATTACATGTATTCTTAACAATTTCTCTGCAAAGACTACAGTATTTTTTATTGTGGAAAATGCAGAGTAGATTTTTTTCTCAATACTTAACTATTATATTATCCTAAAGGATTATTTTCAAATATAAAAGTCTAATTATCAAATACAATCCAGTAGAAACGACATGAGTATTCGTTCACTTTTTAGTAACAAAGAGTATCAAGCATTCTCTTACAAACACATCCTCCAGTAGATTACTGGTGTCGATGTGCGGATACACTCATCAATGGAGATCATAGCATCATAATGCAATTCAGCGTAACGTCTGGATGAAATGAACGGTCTTTTTCTTTACCGGTACGCCCTCTGTTCTTTTGCTATTTTCATTTTTCATTTTTCTACTGTGTTGATTAAGAACACACTGGATTTGTGTTATTATGAATTAATTTTAATCGACAATAATCATTGGTGCGTAATGATTGAAATTATGGGGCGTCTATGTAATACTAAGATTTTCTGTCGGTTTTACTGGATAACCAAACGGCTATTGCAACTATTTTATCAATTTTATTGATTTCTTAGAATTTCTAACCTTGTATTTATACATTTTATAATAAATTTCATTTAAAACTATGAAGAAAAAAATTGTAGTGACGAAATATGGATTCTTATGCTTATTCAATAACTCTTGTCGTTATTATCATTAATAGCTTCGTCGTCTTGACTACATGCGGCGTATAGATGAATATTGAACCGTAGACTAAAACCTAGAGAAACTAAGTAGTCACAATCATTAATTGATGTTACAGTTGACATGAGAATTGAGCTGAATTTAGAATATGTGAATTAATTAAAACCACTAACTGATCTAGATAAACGTTTATACAATCAAGTCACATTAAACACAATAAGTAAAAAATTTATGTTTATGAGTGTCGGTCTAGCATTCGTATTAAGACTATAAAGTTAACTTAATGCGCTCGTATTGGAATTAAAATATTAATTTAATACATTAGTATTAGTATTAGAAAAGTATTAGCCTAATGCTAATGCCATAGTATTAAATTAATATCTTAATTCTGACACAAGAGCATTAAGTTAACTTATTAATTCTAATACAAAAATATGAAAATTTGCACTATAAATAATGCAATACTAATGCTAAACCGACATTCTTATTTACCTTTTTTTTTCTCAGATTTTTTTCTTTTACTGATAAGAAAAAACAAATGATTCTTATAGTGTAAACATTTTAGTTTTCCTAGATGCTCAATGTCATCTAGTGTTAATTAGAAATAGAGATCGAGCGTTTCTTTTTCTTTTTAGCTATTCTAGGGTTCTCTGTATATTTTCATTAGTTGAAGTTGATTGTAGCCGCTTTTTTATTTGATAAGATAGTTTGTCATCTCTTTTGTTTCTATTTTTCATTACATCAATATGAACACCAAAACCAATACAAATAAAAAGTTAATTGGTATGTTATCAAAAACGTCTTATGCAAAACTTATTAAAAACGATTAGCCCTCATAAAACTTCACTTTCAATTTCATAAGGACTTACAATCACACATTATGCTCTAATATCATTATTATGAGACATAAATGAGTTGCTATGCACTACCTTTTTTTTTAAAATCGTCTGCATCAACGCATTACTCGTGTGGATAAATGCATTATAAAAATTTTTTTTCAAAAACTTTCATTAATTATTCAATGTCATCATGTCTCCGAGATGAAAAAAATACATCTAATAACTACTTATTCAATATCTTCATGCGCCAGAAATGAAAAAGGATATTGTCGAAATATAAATTCTATTGAACAAAATAAATATAGCCAACTTATTATTGTTTTTATATAGAATAACAATCTAAACACATCTCTGTTATCAAGTAAACTGCAAAATACAGTTAAATTATATTTTACCACGCAAAAGTAATTACTGCAGGACTTCGCTGGATTTCGTGACCTATCTTGAACCAGAATTCTATATAGATATATATGTCCATACATTGGTTACATTTCTTGAGGAGCGTACATAGTATTCAAAGATATTCTGGTCTCTAAGATAAATTTATACAAATCTTGGTTTTAAACTCAATTTAATATAGTTATAGATGCTCCTGAATTTTTTATAATTAATAGCTTTCATCGTTACTTTTTTATACTTAAAAATGATCCTTTTTTTTTAGATCTCGGACGTGACATTTCAATGTGTTCAACTCTATGACACAGAATAATTGAATATCAAGATGAAAATTTCTCAAATATTGCATACTACTGAGTTTTACATACTGTAACCAAAGTAACTTTCGGAGCAGAAGAGACTCCTATGCCAACTCACAGTATTGTCTTTTAAAATAGTCAATTGTCCTTTTTGAAGAAGCCAGTATATTGACGAGATTTGAAAAATGCTTAACGACCCGATTAAAAATTTTTATGTATTGATAATCAGCAGAGCATCCCTGATGAACTGTTATACATAATTCCGTTACAAACAGGAAATGCTGTTTGGTCTCCAGATTATTGGAGCAAGGTGTAGGAAGTACGGAAATATGGTTGCAGGAAAATTTTTTGTTATTTTAATTATTTTATTTTCAAATTTGTATTCCGAGTAATTAGCTTTGCTCAATGCATGACATTCTATACGCATCCATGAACGTCTCATGTTCAATTCAAAATTAAATTTTTTCTTATATCTTTGAACCCCCTAGAGAGATTTAGAAGCAAAAAAAGATACTTTTCCATTTATGAACAAGTTATTTATATCAATTCATCATGGATGCTCTGCTGGTTATTAATGCATAAAAATTTTTAATAGCGTCGTTGAGCAATTTTCAAATCTTGTCAATATACTAGCTCCTTCATACAGGACAATCGGGTATTTTAAGAAACAATATTATAAGTTAGCTATGAGTTCCTGCTGTTCCGAAAGTTGCTATGTCCACACCGTGTGAAGCTCGATAGTGTGCAATTTTTTGAGAAAGTTTCATGTTGATATTCAATTATTTTGTGTCACAGAGTTGAACACATTCGAATTTCATATAGTCAATAAATGACCTAAATCTTAAAAGAAAAAACTATTTTTAGATATGAAAAAAGCAACGATGAAAACTATTGATTACAGAAGCGAAGTCTGAACTTCAACAACATAGAGCAGAGAATTTTTCATATTAATTATGAGTAAGAAAAAACAATTCAATATCAAACTATGTCAAAAGAGCTCTTACACCATACTTTTTTCTAAAGTCTGAAGAAAAACTTTTCTCAAGAAACCAAAGAGACTTTATCGATTTTCATACTCAAGAACGTTTCTCAGTAATTCTTCAACAATAAATCAAATGTTTTATACGTGTTTTAGTCTTGATAGAAACCACTATTTTGTATGAGAAAAATACGACATATAGAAAAATCCATTATGCAGTATAGACAGAAGGAAAATTGAGTTACATAGTATTTTGAAAGTATTTCATAATGCAGATGACCTATTTTGCCAAATTAATGAAGAACTTGTAAAGCTCTAATCTCAAAATAGAACACACAATAATTTATGATACCTTACTTGAAAAGAGTGATAGCAACTTTTCTTGTTTCTATAATGTTATAACTTAAAACGTGATCTTTTATAGAGAAAAAGAAAAGTTTTATGCAAGAGATACGTTTGAAGAGAACAGAAGTTGCAACACTTTTGTCGAATGACGTGCTGCACTTCTCTCCTACTCAACATTAGTCTAATAACATTTTTGTTCAATGATTTTTAAATGTCACTCTTTGCTTTTTGACCAGACATAGAATGAACTCCCTACAGTATTTCTGAGAGAAGAACCATGGACTGAGAATTCGGCAATTACCTTTGAATTGCAGATGTTTAACAATAAACAAGGTTTTTTTGTTGATACATTAATGATATATTCTTTTACATCATTATAGAACAATATTCCAAACTCAATTCAATTCTAAACGGACGTACCACATGCATATAAAAAGCTGTACTGTGGTTATTTTTCAAACGAGAACATGATTTATCTAGACTTGTTCTCTAATGCTTTCATATTCTTGACTTAAGAAGTATGACTGCATTCAGTCGTAAATCTAAGAAAATAAGTTTTCCAACACATAATAAATTTACAATCTGACAGTGAATCCAAAAATGATCTCAAATTCAAGGTTGAGAAGTGATTTGTTTAATCATTTCTTTTCAAACAAGTTTTTATTATGTTAACATCATACTTTGATGTTTACTAGAAAACATGATAGATAATAGTATTTCAAATTTAGATATTCGACATAAATGACAAGGAATTTATACAGCTAAATAACATCTCTAGTGCCTATCAAGTTCAGAAGTGCTGCTGTCGACATTTGTGTTAAATGAAAGTTATTCAATGTTATTAACTTCTTCTATATTAATATGACTATCATTATCTTTATCGTTCTTTGGTCAACAACTTCTCAATAATGCTTTACATGCTTGATAAGATGTATAGTTTTCTTTGCAAAGGATCATCATTGATAAGCAGTCTCAGCATCTATGAATAATTAGATTTCGTTTGCTAGTTATTTCACTTGATAGTTTTTATGCTCAACATCATCGTTATGGAACATTCAGTTTGTAAATCAAGGTCTATTTCTTTTATGACTACGCAAATACGAGTAATAAACTAAATTGCTATTGGCAAACGACAACTACTAAGTATAAATAAATATTCAAACAAGAAAAATAGAAGAAATACGCAACTGTAATATTAAAAAAAAAATCAAAATAAGACTAGTGTTACAAGTGTACAAAACGAGTTGTTATTTCTACTTCTTAATAACTGTCGTCTTCTGATATTGAGTTAATTCTGACACACTGTGGTCTTGGTATGACCATAACCTTAACACGTAAAAATTGTCATTTATTGCATACAAAACATAAAAAAAGAGCAAGCCATATCAAAACTGAAAACAAAAACCCAAATTTCAACCGAAACTTGAGATTAAATGATTATAGATTTCAGAGAATTAAATTGAACAATCAAATCATAATTGTCAAGTTTTCTTAAGGAAAAAGAGGTGAATTTGTAATTGATTTAAAGTATATTCTACCATGATTAGATAGGTAACAGGTCAACAGTTGAATTGTCTGTATGTGAAAGGTTTTAGATCAAAATTCAAAAGGACAAGTATTGCTAACACTTGCGATCCTTTCCTTCAGAGTCTGGAGAAACTATGAAGTATCTATAGGCAAAAAAGTTTCTTGAAGTAAGAAGATGGGAATGTGACTGAGGCTGTTATCATGCGATGACAAATTTCTCTCTAATATTCATATAATGTGACATGGGTAAGTTGAAATATAAGTACAATTAATAAATTTAACTGTTTAGAAAATAAACTCTAGTAATTTTCTTATTCAGAAATCGTTGAATTGAAAATTAGTCTATTAATCTCATGATCATCACATTCATAAATCTCCATAGAAAGGGAATAGTGCACGTTAACCCCAGCCCTATGTTTCCAAATACTACCAAAAGATTTAATTATATTCAGTCAAAAGAATAAACAAATGGTTTTTAATCTAGTTTGATCCAATAATTTTCATGTATTCATTATGATTATAAATTTCTGTATTATTTTAATTGAATGAAAAGAAAAATTTATTCGCTATCTTAGAAACAATACCAATAAACAAATAATTTTTATCAACATTACAAAAACATTTTTATTTTTTAATACTTAAGAAAAAAAATCTTGTTTATATTTTTCATATTGTTTCAAACGACATTTTCCATATTTAATATAATCAAAGTTTTTCATTGATTGTGGATTAAGTAAAGCTTCTAAAAAAGCCCATAATGACCAATAAAGATGTATAGGTGCACGTAAACAATCACCTAAATCACATAATTCATCAATAGTCATTTGTTTTTCATATTTATTATTTAAAAATGAAGCATTTGATAAATATATTTCTAACCATTGTTTTTGTTTATGACGTTTTGGATATGTATTATCATAATCAGGTTCTTCATTATCACAACCAGCATATTCAATAAAATGATTAATTATATCATATAACCAATAATTTCTTGCACAATGTTCAAAATCAATTAATGATATTTTATTATTTTGTTTTTCATCATATAAAAAATTTAAACATTGAGTATCATTATGACAAAGAACAATTGATAGATTTGACCATGAAGAATTTTTATTATTAATTATTTCTTCAATTTTATTAATATCATCAGCTATTTTTAACCATGGTATATCATTTAAATATGAACTTGATGAAAGTTTTATTCGTTTATATAATTCATTATTAGTACCATTTAATAAATTAATATAATGTCGTAATTTTTCTACTAATTGACCTTTTGCTTTTTTATCTACTAATGGTATTGAATGAAATTCAGCTAATTTTCGAGCAATTAATAATCTAATACGAGGAAAAAAAACAATTCTATATATGTTTTAAATACAATTAAAATAAATAAAAAAATCGTTAGCGCAACCACAATTCGTGGCTGAAAAGTAGAATTTTCTTTTTTTTCTGAGATAACTAACGGATTGAAATAGTTATAAATAGATACTGACGCACTAAACACGACATAAGAGAAAAACACCGTCTCATTATTAGTAATGCACATCTTTGTACTTTAATTCTCCACTTTTTTTCTTTGTTCGTTTCTCATCTTTGCTTTTAAAATTTTGATTAATATTATTCATTATGAAAAACCTCTTAGTTTTGTGTGCATCATTACAAATAATGGCAGTATTAAGTTGATTGATTGATATCTGTAGTTTATATGAAAATGTACTCTATGACCTTTAGCTCCAATTGCTAAGGTATATAATATGAGGAGGAGGAGATGTTGAAAAGCTACAAAGCTTCGATTGAAAACTCACTCACTATATTCTTCGAAAATATACATGAGTTCGACAAAACTTAACTTACGCTTTTTGTTCATCACCATTTGAGATAGGATTTCCAGGTAAATATTGATAAATAAATCCATTATTAAATGTTAATATAATCGAAGGAGATATATGAAATTGAGCTAAATAAATCATATATCGAATTTCAGCTTGACGATCAACAATTAAATCAGAATTTTGTCCATAAATTTTTACAATAATACCATTATTTTCACATGAATATACAGCAAAAAGTATATTTGAAAGACCATCAGTAAGTTTTTTAATAGTTAATGATGAATTTGATTTTATCCAATTTTGTTTTAATGAATTCGATACAAAATTTAATACAATTGATTCAATATCTTTTTCATTTGAATCAAAATCAATATTTTCGTGAAAAATCGATGAAAACATGATAAATTATTATTTATTTTTCTTTTACTTCAATGCAATCGATTTATGGAATCAAAATAACAAATATGATTTAATTACACCATAGCAAACATTTCTTTTTCTTTCCATTCTTGCTTGTGCAGAATGAAAAAAGAAAAAAAGAACCGCTATGTGTTCTGAGTATAAATATACGCAGAAAGCAAATAGTCATATGACCACGTGATCAAAAGAAATATTTAATATTGATAAGGAGAAAAAGCTTTTTCTACTTATTCACACATTGAGTTTTATACGACAAAGTACTGATTTAATAAACACATTTTGTATTACAGAGAAACGAGTTTTAAATAATATTGTTCCATAAAAGAATTCATATTTTCTGGTGAGTTTGAATATTCATTAAAATGAGTAGTATTAGTATACACACTGAGATACTGACAGCGACATCAACTGAAATAGTGATCTAACAGCTCTGTACACTATGCATCTTTTGTACTTTTAGCTATAATCTTCAACGAAAAGTATAATAAAGTAAAAACATTTATTGTCTCCAAAAGAATACTATCAATTTGAACATTATATATGAGAAACCGTATTGATGTATTAGGCTTTCGATAAACATCAAGACGAGTGTAGTTAGCATGCTATTGAAAGCTAGTTTAAGAATGACGTCGATGACCAGTAAGTTGAAACTGTGGATTCTTAAATTCTTAATGTTTTCATTCCTTCTCGATGAAAAGATTGAATGCACACATATAATGTATTTTTCTATCATTTTAAGTCAAGTAAATGAAATAAATGCTAATTGTTTTGTTATTAATTACTGTGCCCATAAAACACTGGTGATGCCCATTTTATTTTTCTCGATTTCTTCTTAACAGCGAAAAAAAAGAGCAGTAAGAATAACAATTTTTTTTAAATCAGAGGATTTTTCATTCTTTTTATCAAAATGTATCAAATAGCAAGATAGTTACTATCGTTGCTTCTTCTTTGGTATATATTATTGTTTATTTTCAATTGGTAAATCATGTTATTCAAAAGTATCAAATTATGTGTAGAATCCTTGTTTTTCTTCGTAAAATCTTATGAAATTTAAAACTTGATTTTTGCTTTTTGGTATTGCAACCATTTTTTTTAAGTAAATAAAAATGAAGTGGAAAAAAAATTATACTATTTGTAAAATGGATATAATATATAAATTAAATTCTTATTAACATAATCACACATTTTTCGTCTATCGTAAAGCTATGTGTTAATTGGTTTGAATGATTGTATTGATAAGATATACATTCTATGAGTTCAGTAAGACAGATGTATCTAATTGCAAAGAAACGATATTTGACTTCTTTTATTTATTTATTTTTTTAAATTATTCGATTTTTTTCAGCACAATCATTCATGATCTGTTGCATATGGATTCTTTAATATAAAGAAACCATTATAAAGATATAATAATAAAAGAAAATTAAGAGTAATATGATTAATCCTATTTCTTGGTTTTTAATGCACTAGATTAGACGTATAATGGCCAGATTAATTTGAAAAGACTCAATTTTCTATGTCGAGATGAATAAGAGAAAATGATTTAGACAGACATTGCACATGTCTGACGATTTGCATTCCAGTTTTGTTGAATGAGATAATATTTACCATTAGCAGCAATATTGTAGTAAGCACCGTTTCCAAGCCGATAAGTAGTTCCATACGTCCAGGCACTAAAATTAAAAAATCAAATAGATTATTATCATATCAATATTTTGGATATGATCTAGCCAATCAGGATTGCAACATGTTTCAAATATTACGATGAAAATATTTATTTATTGGTGAAAAAATAAACTCGTCAAGAAGAACACACGCCTATATTCAATTTTCATTTAGTAAAAATTGTCACCGAATCAAATAGTATTTCTGCAGACGTTCCTTTCCTCTGTAATTATAACGATCAAGAGGTTGTTTTCCTTTGATTCATATATATATACACGAACCATTTGAATGAAGAAACAACTAGCCTGAATACAAATGTCTATCAGAATTCATTTAGTTGACAGTTCTCAGACTGAGCATATCGCAAAGTCTAACATATGGTAGCTTCTCAAAATCAATAACAAAATGAGAATATTTGAAATGGATCGGAAGAAAAAGATGCGGACGCATTAAACAGCTAACTGATAGATTGACTGTTATTTGACTTAGCATCTTACACCTTACATCACGTGATAGATCTCAACGCATGGTAAATGTGTGGCTGCTATTTTTGATAAATTTCAATGCCATTTAAGGAAAAATTTTCCTTTACTATCTGCAATATTCCAAAGGTTTTTTACCATACATGACTGCCTGAAAACTGAACTGTACGTATGTTCTGTGTTGACTAATATTTCGAGATTATTTTTCATCATTGCTAGATAATAGATAGAGCATAAAAATAATAAAAAAAAAAGTTCGGATCCACAAACTTGTTTAGTTAGTCATATCTGAAACACTGATCATATCACCGTAAAAAGTTATAAAAATGAACTGAATTTGAGCACTATCTATTGAGACCAAAGAATGGAGAATACTATGCTGATCACTTGAGAAATGCTCAAATGTACTATTATTAAAGCATCATTTCTTTTTTTACACCCATATCTATTCTATTTCAGTCGGACGTAGCAAATTTGACACAAGAACAGACGTAGCAAAACAGTGATCACTTGCCCATGAGACGAAGAAATCGTCTCTGATGTTCTAGCGCTAAGGGTGTCTGTCTGATAACCACAAGACACGAGTGTCGATAGATGGATTTATCTACCCACTATACCCATCCACCGATCCACAACCACTTGATACATTAGTTCCCGTTCAGTTACTGAAACTAGTTCTTATAAGAATCAATTAGTTTATCGATTAATATCACATGTCGATGAGTCATCAATGGATATTTAACTATTATTTACAAACTTATTAATTTTCATGACGAGGACTAAATCACTACTGATTCCAAACAACGAGGGAAATGTACCTATTCAGTTCTTTCGAACTCTAATCTTTACACTCACTCCTTGTCTTAACTAAACTTTCAACATGTTTGATTGTTGTTAAATAATACACAGGAAAAGACTTGTTACAAGAAAACTTTCTTTTAATAAATTTTTTCCAAAATAAAAGTACTAGAAAATGATATTTGACATCTGATTGACAGTATTTTACTTCTGTACTTACCACTTATCTGCATTTTCATCACCTTTTGAATCTAACCATGCATTCAACAATGGATCAGACATTGCTTCTACTATTTCATGTGCAATGGGACTCAACATAGCATCAACGCCAGTGTCACCATTAGGTGAAACAACCCGGTTCCAGACACTGCAAGTACTCATGCAATTTTGTGGATTTCCTATAAATCCATATATGTATGTTGTACTTCCAATAGAGAATGCCGAATGATATCCACAATAGGTAGTACAGAAAGATGAAGTACTTGTATAGCCTTCCTTCACATCTGCAGCACTGAGCAACAAGTAAATACCGTGTGGGTCATTTTGCAGTTGTCCACTTCTGATATGATTATAAATTATATTTGGTATACTTGAATCAGAAAGTTGAGTTCCATAACTGTAATGATCTGTCGTTATGCTTCCAAGAGTCAGTGGACCTGTTGTATATACCTTGGAACTTATGGATGTAGCTTGATAGTAGTAACTCTTTTCAATGTTGAACCATGCTGTATTTCCAATCGTTGCAATGAATGTATTAACAATATTCATCTGAGCTGTAGTCCAATTACCATAATACTATACATAAAATAATGCAGTAAAAAGATCATAAACAGATCACTGGATAATACTCACCACAATATGGATTTTGGTAGGTCCAGTTAATACGCGAGCACCAGTCTGATATTGTATAGGATTAGTATCTGTTCTATTTGCTACGTTATTTGCGTTTTCATTGTAGATTTCATCTATAGCAACCTTTCCAAGTCGAATCTGGTGATTGTTGTGTGATTCTGAAACAATATTCATTAGATAATCTAGTAAGAAATTACGTGAATATTGCTCAGATTAAAATTCAAGTGGTGACGAAATTCAACTAGTAACAAGAAATCACAAAAGTGATCAATGAACGATCCTGCTCTGTACAATTATGGTAATAGAACAAAATGTCAATCAGAAAAAATAGTCGTTAATCTTTCAAAGTCAAATATGTGTCAGAAATTTGATTAATGAAAATTCTACTTTACAAGTGAAGTTTCTATAATATGAGTTACATAAATCAACATATGAGTCGATCAGTTCACTTTATTATGTGAGTGGACAACAGTTTCTAATTGAAGCTATTTACAACGATACTTCTAAAAAAACCTCCTTAGTTATTGCTTCATCGTACGAACCATGCGTATCCTTTCCAAGGAATATTGTTCTTTTAGTGAATCTAGTCAATTTTTCTATTTGAATACAAGTAAGAGTCGCTAGTTTAGTTAAACTGCAGACTATGTGATACAAGGAGCATTTGGTTATGATTCTATTTAGATTGAAAGTAGTTTTCTTACCTCGCACTTCAGTTAAGGCATGCTTGAAACTTCCACGTTTGAGACAATATGATGGTGTAATAATACAGACAACGATGATAATAGCTAACAGACAAGCAGCGCAAGTCAACTTCATATGCAGCATGTTGTCTATAGTTGTTGCATTAAATGTGAAGATAAAACGAAATGAATAATTATGTTTCTGTTCACAACTTACTTGTAGTATTGATTTGTGTGCAGAAGAAAACCAAAGAAAATGATTATGTTAGACGAAAAACACTAACTTATATATGACACTTTCGTTACTGTTATCATTATATTAATTAAAACGTAGGCTAATAATTCGAAAACGACAACATACGTGCATTACTCATCTTCGGAGATAATCATGAGACAGGTTCATCATGAGTGCAAACAGACAGCCTAAAATTAATGGTGTGAAATGCTCTTCTATTTTTGATATATGACAAATATCTATTCATATTGGAAACACGCAATATCTAAATAATCATAGGTTTACTCATCATGTGTTGCTTGTTGCATTTTTAGAAATATATTATGTGCATGAGTATGGAGTTTTCTAATACATAATTTAAATAAATTGAGAAATTCAATCAAGAAAATTAACTCGTTAACTGTTATTGACGCATATATATTTTTTGTCTAAGCAATTTTCATGAAAAAAATAGAGACGACTATCTCCTAACTCAGATGTATTCATCGTACTTAGTATCAATTCTACTATCTTCTAATGAGTGCACTCTCTCCAGTGATTCTGATATTCCGCATCAATTATTGTCCTGTTTGTCAACATTACTTCTTTTATATTCGATATAGCTTTTCTTTCTACACATCGTTAGTTGTTTCTCTATTTATAGTGCTATTTTCATTTTCTGTGTTATTTACGTTTCTTGCTAACAGTGGCAGACATTAGTATGCAATGAATTATATATACATAACAAAAAAAAATGAAGTCTTTTTGAAAAATTCTAAATGCAAAGATGTTTCACAATTTTGCGAGAAGATTTTCATTTTTGCATTCGTTACTGTAAAATTGAATTGTTTTCAACTTAATGCTTTGAGATTATTACTATGTGGTGCATATGGAATTATCAAATATATTTATCGAGATAATTTTTGTGTTACTTTTAAACTTTTATTATGCTCAAGAGCTTACTGTTTACTTCCAAAAACAAAAAACAAATGAACATTCAATAGCTGAATAAAAAATTAATAACGTACATTTTAAATTCAGTTTTATTCATTTTTGGATGTTTTGCTCAATGATTGCATCATTTTCAAGTTATAGCAATAACCAAGCATAATCAGAACAATTGATTGATTGTTCTATCACCACGTACATTTTGATATAACATAATTAACATAATTGGATACGCATACGTACGCTTGAGAGTATGAGTGTAAAGAGTATGCAAGTCAGACGAACGGGAACATCATCTGACTCGATACCATTTAAATGTTCACAAAAATTGCAAGAATAGAAATATTTTGATGATAATAATAGCTGATGAGCGAATGAACTGACAAGCTGAAATATCCCTGTATTCAACTGCCACACCATTTCACTGGGTATATCAAACAATTTACTTTCTTACTTCCCTTTTCGGTGGAATCAATCTATGCGGTTCATTTTTTTCGTCGGTGTTGCTTCAAATTTAAACGAATTTATGGTAGAATTATGATCTCGTTGAAGTGGTCATTGAAATTCAAACATTCTATGCACTATGAGGTACTTAATATATTAATTGCTTTGCTTGAAAATATTATGAGGGTTATTATTATTGTTGTTTGAATCGTCATCGTTTAGACTCTAGGACACACCAAAAAACAGATCTACCACTTTACTGGAGTCATCGTTGAAACCAAGTATTTGAAGAAATAGCAATACTTCATCATCTTTACAATGAGTGAGAGACATTGTGTGTGTGGCATCACATTTTACAGATATCTTGATAATTGCTATTATACAGAAAAACAGCTGATAGTTACCTATGTCTGTATACATAATTTCAGTGAGTCGTGAGAAACAACATTCGATTAGCTTCTGTTTTCCAGTATATAAAATGCACTTAGTGATGATAAAATGATGCAAATTCATTCTGATGTAAGAAGTTCAGTGAGAAGTCCTTTGCGGATTTTGTCTCTAAAAATATCAATCAAAACATTACTGTCTCCTTCTTGCGATTTCTTCGTTCAAAAAATGTTTTTCTTTTTATAAATCGAATGATCCTTTATTGTAATTTTGACTTCGTTTATCAACAGTTGCTGATTCTCTTTAAGATTTAAACTAAAACACCTACAATAAAGCTACTCCTATTTTTCACTTCGTAAAACACATGTCCTTAATAATCTTGATAATGATCATTGAATTACATTTTACAATTTTCGAACGCTTGTTTTTCATTGTCGTCGTATAACTTCATACAATAGATTTGCATAATGAGATTATCGAAATATTTTTCACCAAGTACGCATGTCACTGCAATGATTGATGTTGAAAGAAGTTAACTCTCTTGCCAAGACCACCACATTTTCGATCTGAGTAAAAATATTTGATGCGCCATATAACGTGTGAAAGATCAAGAAAAAAATGTGTGAATGAATAGATTTAGTACGTGAGTAGCCTAGAGCAGTTGATTTTTCTAGTGAGCTGATCCTAACAATATCATTCCAAATATCAGTCATTTGACGAAGACTTTGAGTTATTAATAAGAGATGCTAGACATTTGGTGATGAGCTCCATGGAATAGATAGATGTTGAATTTATTCGTCTGTAGAAACAGCTTTATATTAGAAAATACCATCATGGAAATAATAATCCAGTTATTATAGTTTAGTAAATTCGAATGAGATACGATTTAATTCCATTTTCAACCGCATTAATCGGTAAACAAGGTCAATTTTAATTGCATTTTATCTGCGCTTTTCATCAAATACATTCGCTTCTTTTGTTGCCGAACGACTCTGTGTTCTGAAGTGCTGATATTTGTGAATTACTAACAGGTAAAATACAACGTTTTAAACTCAATAACCCATAGAAAAGTTATATTTTCTTACAAATGCGAAATATTTTCGAGTTTATTAGTAGCAAAAACCCTACAGTAAAAGATTTTGTGAGTAGATTAATAAATCTCGAGTTGACGACTTTTTGTCACTGAAGAACTCTAAAAGGATTTAGTATGTGTGACGAAATAAGAACATTTCTGTGTTTGATTCTGTTAGAACCGTTTATTGAAGGTTATGCAAGACTGATGAATTGAATAAAGGGTATTGGCTGATGTAAAGAATGGACTTGAGTGTGGGTATGAGTGTGAGTGCGACTGAACAGTATCCCATACACATGCCCACCACCACATCTCGCGCCCACCCACACCCACTTACCTTCTGTATTTCAGGCAAATATATTTTAGATTGACCAATAAAAAATTGGAATAATGAAGCTTTTATCCAGAAAAACCAACTTTATGTATTGTTCATAGACATATTATATATGTCGCCATGCTTTACAATAACTTTTTTAAAGTGCCTGCTACACGTTATTGCGTTGCTAAGAGCACCTCTCCACATTGATGCCTATATTTACTGTAGGAAGGAAAGATGAAAAAAATGTTTTTTTGGTTCTCTTATTGCAAAATTTAGCAGTAGGAAAGAGCGAAACAGACACGTTACTCTGTTTTTTTTCAATATGTTGCTAGATGACGACAACTCGTTGCCATTTCAAGATTGTGAACTTGTTGATGCTTATTCAGATGCGTCTATTTTTCATACAACGAAGCAGAAGATAAAGAGAATCAAGAGAAACAAACGGCAACAAACCGAACAACCATCAGTCAAGATCAGTAAAAACGATGTTAATTTATCAAAGGCATATTATATCTACTTCGAACATAGCCAAGATGAAAATGATTTTCTCTCATTTGTTATCTATACGGGACCCAGCAATACGCTTCATCTCAGCAAACAACTCTATCTACCACAGCTCACACACACAATTAGCGGCGATTCGATGATCAGCCGACAACGTTTTGTTAATGATTACGATCAAACATGTTCTACTGTCACAACATCGGCAGATACATCAATCGCAGTTTTTATACGATTGGGGATTATGTACTTAGTACAATCAGGTACAATGCCTCAGCAACCTTTAACACTAAGAGATTTTGTCGATGCTAGAAATCGAGGTTCGTTCTCTATTCACATTGATAGAAAATAAACAGATTTGAGTTGTATTTTATCCTAGATAAGTATATCAGAACATCATTCTACACATTCAAAGGTGTCAGCTCACCAAAGAATCTTCTCAACGCAGTCATCAGAGATGGTTTCTCTCGAAGCTCAGTAAACACCTACTCCTACGATATTCAGCTGTTTCTGATGAAAAAGGATCAAAGTGCTACCTTTCATTTTCGCTATGATGAACAGCTTCACTGTCGTGATATCGTCTATCGACCAGTGCCTCCTATTAACTTTGATTTTATTCGTGATAAATCATCAAGCATTTTCCGTTCGATTGACGACTCTTACTCAGACATGTTTGATTTTCGTATACAGCTACAACAAATTCGAACCTTATCCAAAGAGGATCCCAGTGTACTTGCTGTACTTCACGGAGTATCCATCGATGAAGTTCTCTACATGAACAAAACAGACGGTATTCTCCATGTTGCACCGGCGTTACGAAATTCTGTCAAATATATGAAATGTACCCGTTCAAGTAAATATACCAGTGCAGATAATCAGATAACGATCACCATTGGTACTTACGAAGAGTTTCGCTTGAACTCACAAGGAGTATGTGAATCAAGCATGAAGTCGGAAAATACCATGACCATCGAGCTGCTAGACCTCCAAACTGTTCCGCCGGCTGAAAAACTGTATGATCTTGGGATGTGGTTCTCATCGTTGTGTCAAACCTGTGTCGAACTACCATCAGCTAGTATCTCCAGAAAAGCTTTGCTCAATCGACATCGGTGGTTCTCTAGTGTATTCGACGTGTGGAAAAGAAATCAAACAGTGAAACGAATCGATGTCAATCAATTGACACGATATACAACGCAGAAATCAAACCAAACTTATACAAGTGAAGAGTTGGCTTTTGTCAAGCGAGTCTTACGTGAAGAAAATTTGTCGCAAGTATTGCCAAATGTGGAGCATAAGAAGTGGAATAATCAAGATGAATTGAAAAAGGAATTCGAAAGAGTCAGAAAGCGCTTGGAATGCAGTGGAGCACCATTGGCTAATGAAGCACTGAAGAAAGTTGAGCAAGCTTATCTGATGTTGAGCGAAAATCTTGTTTTGAGTAGTTATGATGAACAAAATAAAATGTGACAGATTTATCGTAATGTTGTGTATCCGTAAAATGCACGATCATCTCCCGAACATCTACCAATTAGATATCCATAATGATAATGCGATGAATTATCGTGTGATGAACGGATTTAGCACGGGGTGAATCAGGGTGTGAGTATATGGAGATAGGTGAAAAGAAGACTCACACCCACACCCACACCCCAACCCGACTTGTATTGATCGTATAACATACATTAATTAATCTTACATTTGACGTATAACATTAGAAACTGAAGCAGAATCTCAAAATTATTAAATCTATATTCATATAGTTCTCATACTCTTTCAGAAAATTCGATTTATCAATATATTAGAAATCTCTATAGAAAACAATAATAAATCTATATGATAACTGATGAGTTTTTTTCTTATGTACACTTCGCTGTTAATATCTATTTCAAAAATAACTCTTAATTGAACAATATTATCAAGAAAATATAAAATAAAGTGACTATATCTCTTTAAGTAGCATACTCATTAATTCAAAAGGGCTAAGCCATATGAATTATAGTTTGAATAAACTAATGATACGGAAGGATTTTGAAGCTACTTTCACAAGATTGAACCCTCCAACTAGAAATTACAAAAAAGAACTAATTTGTTCTACTGTGATCATTAAGTTTTATGTTACCTAATAAAATAATTTACTTTTGTGGAAACAGAAAAACTTATTTATTAAATTGAAAACGCATGTTATGTTTGTAAACGAAAGTTTACAATAGCAACAAATTATACCACAATAGAACCTGTAATTTTATCCTAGGATGTTGCAGAGTTTTGAGATAAATATGTATATAGAAAAAAGTCCAGAGAATTTTTTCTTGTTAACATTTGAGCTGTAATAATATCGTTGCTAGGCGTAAAATTAGAATTAACAATATTTATGTTATGATGAAATATCAAAGTTTATTTCAAAGCAAATTGAGAGAAACAATATAACTATTCTGATATTAAGCTTTCGAGTTTTTATGATCAAACAAGTCATGTAAGAAACTTTGACGAATTTATGATGATTTCTTATGTTCTTTTATCAAATTATACAGTAATAAAGTTGCTTTTCGTCAAGTACATACATATATCTATATATGTAAATATTTCTCTTCAACATATTCTTCTTTTTTCAAATGCCCAAGTCGAAACGTAAAGTACTTGTTCTTCGCTATTTTTTCAATAATGATGATTTTTTAATGAAGCGAAACGAAATTCGTCCTGCTCATTTATCATATCTTCGTCAACATTCAAAACAAAATGGTGGCCATGTTGAATTCAAGGTTGCTGAATCATTAAATACGAAGAGTTTTTATTGGCCTTTAACAACACATCAAAATGAAATGATCCAATTCATGCAAGAAGATCCATATTACACAGAAGGACTTGTTCAAGATGTGACCATTTATCCACGTACAATTATTGAGAAAATTTCATCATAAAAAATGTAAACTTCATTTTATTAATATAAAGTTAATAAGCGTTAAATTAATATACATCGAAAAAAAGCAAAAGAGTTTATTGTATTCGTAAGAAAATAAAAAGGACATAGATACGACAAATAATTTTTACTAACCTTTGTAAAATAACAACAATTTTGTCATTTACTATTTTCAATCTACATGGATATTCTATAGCATTGATAATTTAGTACTGGATGTGTGGTTGCCATTTGATTCCCTTCTGGCCCGATTCCGACATCCACACCTATGCTGAACATTTATTTAACAACAAATAAGGCTTGATATCATAGATAACGGCAACCTATTTATATGTCGATGTATAAATATTAACAAGTAGTGCGTTTAGGTGAGAATGTCTAAATTCTTTTTTCATGATATTATCTCATTATGGTAACTTCAATTGTCAACTTATATCGTACAATTTCTTGTTTAACTAATTCCTGTGAAAATGTTGAAATATATTTTATGCGATTGGTCATCTTTTTTGTAAATATTATATCTTAGAGATAAAACACTGATACAAATTAGATTTTTGCTAATTGGTAACTGAAGAAATTCTGTATAGACAATGTATAAGAAGTTTTTATTAATATCTTGTGTGCTGCATTTTTTTACATTGTTTTCTGAAAAAAATAGCGATACCATAGTGGATAAAAGGTTAATATTAAAATATTAAAAAGAATTTATTGTTCATGATTATTTTATTAATTTAATTAAAAACTTGAAATTTATTTTCAAATTTAATTGTCTAAATCACGAAATCCTTTTCCATTGGTAACCTCGCGTGCAACTTGTTTTATTTTTTTATGAATTGTTGCTGCCAAATGTTGTTGTACGCGTTGAGCTGTTTTATCAGCTTTCTTTGCTGTTTGCAGACCTTTAATAAAAGTTTCACAATCATTACGTAATAATTCTTGGTTGGCAGTATTCTTGAGATATGCAATAAAATTAGCTGATTGTAATTTTAAGATTGAATCGTATGATGAATTTGCTTGAAGAACATCGATAACTGAAAGTATGTCCGTTAGGTAAATTTGTGCTAGTGTATTATTTGAACAAAATTTTGAAAATTTTTCATTTATTTTGAATGGTTTATGATCCAAACGTGGTAGATCCTTTCGTTTCCAATGCGATCGATCTTTATCCTGACGAGCTAATGTCAGGCTTATAGCAAAGCATACCTATAAAAAAATAAAAATAAAACTTTTGCATGTTACATAATGGGAATTAGTTACCAAGAAAAAGAAGAGTAACTTGCACATTTCAAAAATGTTCTAGTCGACTGGAATATAATCTATTTTTATATAGCATAATATACATGTTGTATTTAGTTTTTTTTTTCATAAAATTCATGATTTTCTTTAATGCTGATAAAAGAATTGAGAATCAATATGACGAGAACAAATATAGAATGAGTAAATTTACTTTTGTCTTAATTTTTTGAATATTTTATTTGAAGGCATACAATAAATTGATCAAAGAATCATATTTTATAGTTATTCGTCGAGGTACTATTTAAAGAACGTGTTCAGATTGGTGACGCATATTCATATTTGTCACCAGAACAATTTATTAAAATAATATTTAGGGCCCAATAAAAAAAACATGTCCCATAGACTCGATATACAAAAGTTTTCTTTTCTCTTGGTGAATTATTATTTTAAAAAAATGATTGATGTTTTTAATGCTTGTGCAACATGAAAACAACTACCATTGTTAATCAATATTTTCTTTTTCCATATGGTAATAATAGAATAAGCTGCAAAAAAAAGTCCGAGTGCGAACAGACTGAACTATGATTACATTATATTTTCATTTGGTTAGCGATGTTTCATCAAGCTAAAGATCTTTTATCATTATTAAACATATTATGGATTCAGAAAACATTCAAAGAGTTTTCCCGTTGGAATAACATTGCTTCATAATTGTATTTTAGCTTCATAAGTAATTCACGTTGTTTTTTTTTACGACATTATACCTGTTTGTATTTTGTGATACTTCTCTTACAAAATGTAGTTTTTTGTTGAGATAAAGGAACAAAAGCATACAATTTCATTGAAAACTGTCGCTAACAAATATCTGCTGTAGAAAGACCGAAAAGAAAAGTATTATAAAAAGGATGTCTCCTGTAAATGTTGATTTAATCTCTATCACTCATTATTCTATTGGTCTGATACTAAAACTATCAATAACGGTCATGAGTAATACTGAATAGAGAAGAACTGCAATGATCTGGAAAATAATTTTATACAACTGAAAATATATTATGATGGTTTTACAAGTGTCATGGAATATTTAGATGATTTTTTTATATACATTTATTAAACAGAAAAATGATACTCTTATTTGTCTTTTTTTAAATCTTGACTTGGGTATGATTTATATTATAATCTTCGTGCTATATACCAAAAATTAAGAATGTTTTGCTAGTTGAAGCTCTTCGTCTTTGCTCAATGCGCCTAGAATATTCTATTAAACATCAAATAGTTCCTGCTAGAGATTCTAAGAATACTAAATAATGCTGCATATGAACGTGTGACAATGTTATGGACAACTATTTCAATCTATCAAACAATTCAAACAAAACATCTAGAATTGATACAGTTGTTTTCTTCATCACAACAAACTGACGTTTATATATGCCAAATGTACATGAAAAATCTTTTATCATTTTCTTTTTATTTTCGTTTTTCTTTGTTCTTATAAGCAAAACTGATAAAAATTTAAAAGCGATGTTCCTTGCTTTCACTGCTATCTAATTCACTAGGCGGTTTGAGTCCAGTAGCATTAAGAGCAGCTTGTTTGAATTGTCTTCGAATATCAGAAGCAATTTGGTCTCTTGCTTGTGCAGCTACTTTGTCTGCTAACTTGGCTGTCTTCAAATTAGTCATAAAAGCAGTACAGTTTGTCGATAACAAAGCTTGATTTGTTGTATTTTGAAAATATGAAACAACATTGGCCATTTCGGTTTGTAAAACTGAATTATACAATGAATTTGCTTGAAAAGTATTAATAAGAGAAAGCATTTGAGAAAGATATGATTCGGCTATTGTAGTATTTTCACAGATGTTTGCTGGGGAATGCGCACGGAAAGATTGACCAAGACCAAAAAACGACAAAATAAAATCACCAGGATGAGAATGAGCCAACGTCAATCCAATGACGAAATATAGCTAAAAAAGAACAATATATTATCTTGAATGGCAATTCAATAGCTTACCACAGCGATAGATAAAGATTTTTTCATGATTATTTTCAATTATGTTGTGAATAGTGAAGTTGCCCTGTTTTTATAGTAGTATTGGATGATAACCTAAGAAAAAGTTTGCACTTTTTCTTAATAAGATGCAGCAAATGCTGCAAAATTTATAATATCTTAAATAGTAATACATATTCACTTTTGCATTAGAACAAAAGCGCGACAGATGTTCACGAAATTATTCAAAACATTATTGATGAAAAAAAAGAACGCAAAATGTTTGCCTAAACTTATTCAACTTCTGATAGAATGATGATATGCATGTATGAGAAAATATTTTGATCAATTACTTATAAATATTGAATGATATCATTTAACTTCTTTATTTAATAAATGAACAACAATATATTTGTCTATTAGATTGATTTATATTCGAATGACACTCGAGTGAATCATTGAAGGGTCCATTTTGGTATCAAAATTATCTTTAAATGACATGAACCGATTGTGATAAAATATTATGTGATACAAACAAGTGATCGACCATTGTTTTCATCCTCTTACATTAATGTACGACGCAATATGTGTCAAAAAAAAATTAGAAAACTAATTCTTTGATACTCTAGTTTATCATATAATCACAGATAGTCGCAGGCGTAAGTTTAGGAGGCCAAAAAAGTGAGCTCCAAACTATCTAAACTTCAAATTTGGAACTCACTTACGTACCCACATTTTACCAATAGTACCCAGTCTATGTTTTATGAAATATAATACTAAGAAAATATCTGATTATAAAGAGATGATAATCAATTAATTAGTACTCAAATAATTACCACACGGGTGAGAGATCGCACTTCTAAGGGCGTGGGTGTGGGTTTATATCTTCTCTTCACTATACTCCCACACCCACACCCAACTGCAGAATCATATGCTCAAAGAATAGAAGAATTATCTACAACATTCACCTTTGGTCACCAAGCGGATTCACCGGAATTTCTACTGTTTCTATTTGATCATCTTATTTTGTGTTTGAAAACCGATGAAGTTGTGGTGAATAGAAATTCATGTATAAATCCTATTCAACATATATTTGGTATAAATATACTGTCGACAATTACAGGCAAAGTTTCTTCTAATCAATCATCTGTTGAAACTTGAGAAAATATTTTGTCTTTGCAAATAGCTTCACATTCAACTTTTATTGAAAGTCTTTCAGCATATTTCTGCACAGAAGAATTAGAAAATGGTGATTTATATGAATGTTTTCATTGTAGAAAACAAGTACCAGCAAGGAAAACCTGGAAAATTATTCAACAATTACCTACTGTTTTTGTTTCATTTAAAACGATTTCATTATGATTTAAGGCTACAGGTAACTCGAAAAATTCATAAATTTATGATTTTCTGGAAATACTTACTCTTGATTCGTATTTTGATAAAAGTAATATAGAAATCAAACAAAGAGAATGATGAAGATCATAGTTATGTATATCAGTTAAATAGTGCAGTTGTATATGTAGGTAATTATGCAACCAGTGGTCATGTTTTTGCTTATGTTCTTTCACCTGATAGAAATTGATACAAAAATGATGATGATGAATTAGTAACACCAGTTAAATTAGAGTCTGTACTGGGTGATGAAAACGCCTACATCTTATGTTATAGTAAAGTACCCAAGAGTTTAATGTATGCATCTGATAAAGAGACGCTATCGTCTCCCTCACATTCATGGTCTATTGTGATTTCATCGATTTTAATGCATGCATGTCATACTTTTACTGAAGTTAACAATAATAGTCATAGAATTGTAAGAAAAATGCTTTCTTTCGTTAGTATACATAGTATGTTCATATCTTATTAGGCAAATTTATTAGAAGAAAAGAGTCTCATTTCTTCCAACGACTGTTTGAAGCATGAATATAATAATGATAACTTACTTTCAAATGAATATCCTTCGATTTTGAATGAAGGTAAGTTTGGTTTATGCGTTTTCAAACAGTGTTTTTCAATTCGGATATATTGTTAGATGATTGCTCGATACAAGAATATTTATCTTCAACATGACCCAGTATCTTTATCAACATTAACAGATACTTCAAGTGAGTAAAATGATTAATTGCATATGATATACGGTTTCTTTGTTATTGACATTATTTCAGGTATTCAGCTGAATGAAAATATTTCGGCTGCTGAAATTGGCAATGATTTTGTCGCTGAGACACCCTCATCATATCAATTTCAACTTCGATCAATTGATCTTGCTAAATTACTACAGATTAGAGCTGGAAAGACAAAGAAGAAAGAAAAATGGGTTTATTTAATGAATCTGGTACTCTAACAAATGCAAAAAGAATTTTTATTTTAAAACAAACTAATATATTGAAAACAATTATTGACCTTTCTTTTCGTGAGCGAACTCTTTCAAATACTCACTTTTGCTGTTCCGTAATAAGCTACATATTAAAAATACTTTGAATGGATGAGATCTTTTTGAGGAGTACAACTTCTTACACAAAACTAAGAAAAAAGAAAACAGCGGGGTGTTCCAACCAAATTTGATAGAAAATCATGGGCGTACCGAGCGGGGGAGGGGGCGAATGGGGTGTTACTCCCCTTGCTTCTGAAAATTTTGTTTGTTTTTGAACAAGAAAATAGAAAAAAAAAATCTCTTTTCTAGGGGTTATAACTGTTAAACTGATATGAATGGATACCTTACTCCCCCTTACTTTCGAAACTTCGAGCTCTTCGAAGATTATACCCCCCCCCCCCCCCCTTTACTCTGGAGACCTCGGTACGCCCCTGTAGAAAATCGTAAAATATTCTGTTGTTTATAATAGTCATAATTAGACGTGAAATAATTTTGTAAAATGACGCATTCAGTCAAAAAGAAGCGTCATATTATAATGTCTATTTGTTAAATACCAGATTTTTTCATACAAAAGTTTGATTTCATGAGCTGCACGACTAAGTGAAAAACTTTACTAAAGATCTTTCGAGTTGTAAAAAGACTTGTAATAAAAGAAACAACATTCCTCAAACTATAAGGATTCGATATTAAGCATCATACTTAAAAAGATTTATAGCAATCTAGACAATGATTAGATTGGAATACATAAAAAAAATACCTGAGGAAAAGTATTTCCTAGACACAAGATCATTTTCATTAATATAATTCTTACATATTCGAATACAATCTAAACACAAACCTAAACAAAATCTATCATGTGGAGACTATCATCGATCACATAAATCGAAACATGCTATATACTTTCAAGGAACAAAATCAGAATTTTTTCTCAAGAATTATATTGCCACAGTTGTCTGGTATGATCAAAAAAAGAATGAAAAAGACTTTATATAGGATCGAAAAGTCTTTTTCAATGATTTTGAAATCTTCGAAGTCGCCATGTATGTCTATCCCATGCTTAGTGAGATAGCCTGATAAAAAAGCAGCAGACTATGAATTTACAATTGCTAACAACGGTTTTACGAATTGCACTTATGTTGCATACAGCTCTGCACAAGCTATATTATAGCGTGTTCACTAGTTAAAAAATACATATGAGATGACTTGAAGAATTTTATTATTCCATCAATGCTGATCATTTATCCGTCCCATTCGCATGCACACTAAGTTAAAATGTGCCTTAATAAACGGTGTGGCTGTGATGGTGGGTGTGGATTTGTGATTGAGTTTTCAGTTCGATCACAGCCATATTCAAACCTACACTCTTTCGAAATCAGTCTCATATTAAACTTCCAATCACTAATCTATTTGTAAGAGTACTTCATCTGCTGAATACTACAGCTCAGCTCCTTGAAATAGAAACAGCTCTCTTTACACAATAGATATTTTATTTTTTGAACAAATCTTCGAACTTTTTCAATAAATATAAGCGAATTTTCCTTTTGAAAATTGTTTATGAAGGAAATAATGAAGATACGTACATTCCATTTTTGGACTTTATTTGATTTTCTCAATAACGAAAGTGTCATTAAGTCACTCAATCTTGTCCGTGAACTGTAAGCAACATATACCATACGCTTCGCTAACGTTTGTTGATTATACAATGACGATTTAATCAACCGAAAAAGAACAAAAGGTCTTATTAAAGATCCTTGATCCAAGATACTTTCTTATCCAAAAACTATAATCAATTAGAAAAAGCATTTAGTTATGTGCACATATTCGGATTCTTGTTTTCATGTAGATGAAACATAAAAAAATGAGACGTGGCAGTAGTCTAATGCATGTCGTAGACTATTGAATTCGTATGAAGAATGTACCATTTGTGCGAATAGCTGATGTGTCTATCATGTTTATACTTAATGGTAGACACACACAAATCTCTTGCGTATTCTATGAAGGAAAAAATGTCACCTATACTTTTCGAAAGAATAGATAATTCGTTAATTACAAACATCTCATACTTGCGAATAGTTTTTTCAAGACAAAAATAACGACATCACGTTACATTTTTCTGCTTTTAAATAGTAGCAGATAAGCATCATAGAGTCATTTTTAATGCTAAAGTTCAACAATTATTAATCTGACAAAGCAAAACTATGTTCAAACTTGATGTCTATTTATTCTTTAATCAAAAACAATAGTCGGTAAAATAATCCTTGTTTTATTTCAATCTTTAATTTTCAAAGCGGTTAAATAATTACATTGAATTCTTGTTCATCATAAAATCGCATTTTATTTATTTCAAAATTTCATTTCATCGAATAAAAAACAAGTTAATTTATATATACAACAAAACATGTTCTTTCATTATTGTTTAAACCAAAATAAAAAAAAGAAAACAAATGAGTTAATTTTTT